CATGGACTGACCTACAGTCATGGAATGATCTACAGCCATGGACTGGCCTACAGTCATGGACTGACCTACAGTCATGGAATGACCTACAGTGATGGACTGGCTTACAGTCATGGACTGACCTACAGCCATGGACTGACCTACAGTCATGAAATGATTTTGAAGATGCTGCCTGGATTACTGCTTCTTTGCCTTCTAAATCTACAAAAGGCCAACTTACTTTAAAAGATAGCTTCACTGCCCAAGCCCTAACGGAGGAGGAAGAAACTTTTAAGATAAAAATAAATTTTAAAAAGAAACCAAGCTATTTTCATCTTCTCGAATTAGCTGTGGTACCAGTTCACACTTCACAAAGCAGTGGGTGAGAGAGCTAGAAATGTTCAAAAAAAATCCTTTGACAAATAGAATGTTCCATTTCACATGGCTAGGCAGAGTGGCAGAGAGACAAAAATAACATAGGTTTGGAAGCTCAGGGGTCAAAGCAATTTAGAAATAGCGGCCAATACAGACAGTTTGGCATATCAACAATATCATTGATTTCAGGGTGTAGCAAGCCCGAGAAAAGTGAGCTCTTGTCCACTGAATTCTAAAACCTAAAGAAAAAAATCAACCAATCAGGAGCTTTATTGTAAAAGATGTGAAGAAGATAATTTATCACTCACCACTCCCCAGAGCCTAAATGAGCCCAGTGCCTTAGCTTTGTCACTAACAGTATACATTAAGGACAGTCATGTGGTTAAATGACAAATGGGGAATAAACGCTAAAGGGGAATAAATAGTTAAACTTTTTAAACTTTCTACTTTTAACTCAAGAGATGCTTTTTGCTAAGCCCACTTTCCATTTGACAAATAAAGCCTAAGAAAAAATGGAAATGGATTTACAAGCTTCCAAGAACTGAAGGAAACTATAATAGGATAATAAGTTCCAAGTAAGCATAAGACAAATTCAGCTTAAAATATTCAGGTCCTTCAAAACCCAGCTTCCGTCAGAAATCATTTCTTAGGATCTGAGAAGAGGGTCAAGGTTCTTTGTGGTTTACAGTGCAATGCAAAGTTTCCATTGCTTCAAGACTGACTCATTAGAAAGAACTTCAGCTCCTAATTGTGTCCTCAAGTACAGTCATATCCCTTGACTCCCCTTTCACTAGTACCTAGAGACACTTTACAGCCAAACAAGAAAGATGGACGTGAATCCCAGGGGAAACCCAATGATTAATTTTCGGGAGTAAGTCAAGTGTCAGGTAAAGAACCCTTTCAACTTTACATCCTGTCTTACTCATAAGAGAGAGGGAATGATATATCTTTTCAACACACAAGGGAAACTGAGGTACAATCTCCTCTACAAGGGAATTTTTTTCCTCTGGTGAGAAAATGAGGTGGGAGGTGACTCTATGAATGTCATGCACCCTCTGGCCGCAACTCCTCTCAAAGGCCAGCTCTGGCAAATGTACACCAGGAAGTAACAGTCGTATTCAAAGACCTTCAAATGGGCTTCCCATAGACCCTGGATGTTCTACTGGGGCTACTGCTAAGTTATAATCAGAGAGAGCTCCAATCTGTGTCCAGCATTACTAAGGTACCAAAGTTGAAGACCTGGGGATCTGACACAGAACAGAATCTGAAGTTTGAAAACACTAAATCGGGATATGGTTTCTGCTAGGAGAAAAGTTGTGGAGGCAAGCATTCCCACAAATGCAGCCCTGAAATGCATTCCCACAAATGCAGCCCTGAAGGTCTGTTATCACACGCACTTCTCTGACCAGACTCCCCCTTACTCTCACCAAACCTGTTCTGACTTTAATTCCATCTCTTTTCTTCTCTAGTCCTCAATGCTCACCTTCCTCTCAGTTCTTAGGATCTAGTTAATTGTTCTAATGAAAAGTGAAGTTGCCCAAAACTGTGTGATCTACAGAGACACAGACATAACTGTGACTTTCTAACAATGTACAAATATTCTATACCGAATATGTAAAGTCCAAAATTGAACACAGAAAATTTAGTAGAGATTCAAAACTTGCTGAAATAGTCTAATAATATGAAGAGTTCATACCCTTTCCCCAGAGATGCTAGCCTACAGGATTAATCCTCAAAATAAAAAAAGCCCATGGATCAAAATGTTCATCACAGTATCGAGACTGATATCAACAATATACTCACAAGGAGGAATGATTAGGAAGTTCCAGTGTGTCTATCTCATAGAAACTTATGCAGGCATGTAAAATGTTTAGTACTCACTTAAAATTTGGTGAAAACTAGGAGAATAAAAGTAAAAATAAGTACATTAATAATATAGTATGGTTAAAACCATCGATTAATGCCATCAATGGCTGCCTTTACTTGGTAAGAGTATGATATTTATATCTTTTTGCTTTCCTATTTGTACATAATTGTACAGTGGATAAAATTTTAAAGGGTGGATCTCTTCAGAACAAAAGTATTTTATTTTCATAGAATGTTCTTTCTGCATTTAGTTCATAATTCTTTTAATGTCAAAAAAAAGATTCCATTTTCCTGCAAGGGTATTGAGGCAAAGGAAATGATAAAAATGGGCAAGAAAAACTTTCTCTGATTAAAAATATGTCTACTAGTTCTCTGTGGTGACCACATCAGACACAGGTCACATGCCTGACGGCCAAAGTTCCTCATAGACCAGAGCCTGGCACATCTCAGCTCTCCCTGTTTCTCAGCCTATGGAAATCAGTCCAAGTCTCAGAAAGTCATTTAATCCACTTCTGTGACTGAAGACATCCCTGATTCTCGGACCACCCAGCTTCTAATGATTTCCTCTTCTCTCTGGGTGTTCTTACAGCCCTTAAACTTACACCACCTGCTGGTATTGAGACCATTCTATATCATTCTGTTATTTCTGGGTAAGTGAATACCTTTCAGCTAGATTTGGAGTTCCTTGAAGGCTTTTCAGTAGTTATTGATCAAACACATCCAGAGGCAGAGAGGAAATAGAGTTCTACAGCGACAGCCAGACTGCTATTAGATGCGTGCCCTCAGTAATAGTATCTAAATGAAACATGATGTTTTAAAATGCTGCCTGTGACATCACTACTGGGGCATACACTTTCCATTTTCTGCTTTAAAAGCAGTGATATTCTATTTCTGCTTATTCATTCATATCAATTCTGAGGTTCCCCTGGGATCAAACAGATTGGATTGAAATATGCCTCACCAAGACTTATAATATAAATAACAAATGAAATGACCTTCTAAAAATCAACTTAAGACCACACACAGGACCTTGCTTCTCCTGCAGTTTTATCTGAACAATAAATATAAGTTTGTATCCCCATGTTGTGCCCTCACTTAGACTGCGGGCTTTAATCTATCAATATCGCAATTAACAAAAGAAGAAAAGAAAAGAAAAAGAACGCTCCAAAGCAAATGGTCCAGCACTTTAGAAGTGATGGACTAAATGGCTATGCTCTTTTATGCCATCAAATACTCTGCCAGGATTTAGAAATAAACACCATCTGTACATTAGCAACCCGACACCCGAGACATAACGAGAGTTGCATATCTTAAGAGAAAATCCATAAATCATAAATGAAAGCAAGTCAAATGACCCACCAGAGGAGAAAGACCTAGTGTCCATTACTTTTGCAGGAGCCTACAAGGTCAATAGGATTGTTGTCTCTGAAGGGCAGGACATCAATTAAGAAATCCATTTCCCACTGTTCACATCTCCATCTCACAACAACACACCCATGTTTTTTTAATAAGTGAAGCAGCACTCAAGAGTAAGTGCTTCTTCATATTCTACCATTTACTGGATGATCTTGTACCGTCTCCAGATTTTAGCTCCTTAACCCATAAAAATATCATCTGCTATGCCGAATCCCAAGGTTGTGATAAGGCAAATAGCATGGCCCGAGTCTGGGTTTATCTGTCACCCTACTGTGCACAATTCAGTCTCATACCCCATAAACTAGATAATTGTTCTTTTGAATGTTGCCGAAAGATTAAAAAATGGTTTCTAGATTTCTTACTGTGATGCCAATTGATTCTCCCAATACTTGAGCATATAGCATCTATCACCACCAAAAATCATACTGGGCATCCCTGGTTAGGACCCAGTCTCCCATGAACTGTTGTCTAAATACATCTTCTTACTGGATGCTAAGGAAATAGGTGTTTTCTCTTAAGAGCTATCCGGTGAGTGCAGGGCTATGTGCAGAAAGTTTACAGGTTGCTGCTGCGAGTGTCTGAGATAAATCCTATGAAAATTATTATACGTCACATCTAACAGTGCATACTTGGACCCAATACAGATTGATACAGCAGATGGTCGTGGATTTTGGAGTGAGGGAGACCTGGATTCAAATTCCTGTTCTGTGACCTTGAGATTGTAATTTAAGATCTCTGTTCCTCACTTTCCACAATTGGCTCTGGGTGGGTATGATGATTTAACTCAATTACACACACACACACACACACACACACACACACACGAAATGCCTAAAAGATGAAGATATTGTTCATAATTCCTATACATATTTTCTTTTTATATGAATCAGTCAAACTCTGCTGAACTCAAGGCAAATTCTACAGAAAATTTTCAGTTTGGGGGGACGTTTTGATATCAAACAAAGTGGATGTATGGTGGAATGAGAATCAGAGGAAAGGAGATGTGTGGAGAAAGACATCATACTGACACACTTTCAAGAACGCGCACAACATTCTCTGCTCAAGGAGGTTGACACTAGGGTGTGGGGACATAATGTCCTGACCAATCAACCCTCTGGGGACAAGAAGCACTGCCCCCTTCACCATGCCAGGGCTGATCTAGAAACTAAGGCTGGACCCCGCAAATGACCCGGTCCGGCCCCCTCCCCCTGCTGCCCGAACCTCTGGGTGCCAATGGTGCTGAATCATGAGCCTGGCAGCAGCCGCCCTCCGCAGCTTCCACCCGGGCACGTCTCCAGGACAGGGACTGGAAAGAATGGGCGTCCCACCTGGGGTGTGGAGGGGCGGGGGCAAGGGCAGGTACTCACAGCTTTGGCACCTCGCCGGGTGGCTCCTGTGGCCGGTCCCTTGGTGGTCCCCACTCCCCGCCGGCGGCTGGTGGCTCCCTGTCGGGCACACACAGGTGGCCCTGGGATCCCCTCAGCTCGCCCACCGCCCAGGGCAGCCACGGCTCAGAGCTCAGAAGCTCGACCCGACCAAGAGCAGCTGGAGCAGCTGTCGTGCCCAAGGGGTGGCGGCTACCAACGGGCCAGACCATTTGCCTGCTGCGCCCAGGGGTGCACGTCATGCAAGGAGGCTCCGGCACCGGGACTCCACGAGGGTCAGCGATGGGCGGGAAGGACCAAGGAGTAGGCGGAACCTCCGCCCCCTGAGTTTCCGGAGAGCTGGGGGTCGGTCAGACCAGCAGCTTCTCCGCCAGGTGTTCAGAAGGATGAACTCTGCTTTTCGGTGCACCCCTCACCCCGCCTTTTCCTTAGTCCCGCTCAGGGAGCTTTCAGAACGCTGCTAACAGAGGACCTAGCAACGCTAGCTCCCGGGTGGCATCCCCTTCTAAGGGGATGTAAAGGACTCTGCCCTAACACCTGTCTGGGGTCACCTCCTTCTTTACCTTGCAGTCTGGACCACCAGTTTCCCATCCAAAGGAGTACTTGAATCTCGGGAAAAGGGCTCTTCCAATCTTTTATCTAAGCATCCTTTTTTTACATAAGAATAAGAGGGTACCAAAAGCCAACTTGAAAGTTAGACAGATCAAGTGAGTGCCCTCCCTGCAGGTGGTTTCTATGTCTGAGGAGGTTAAGAAGCTTCAAGCCCGCTAACAAATGCTCAGCAGAGGAGTTGAAAATATAGATTTGTAGGTATAAACCCTTTGAACAGGTCAATGGAAAATTCCAGAAGAAATTCAAGAATAGTTTTTTTTTCTGTTCATGATTTTAAAGGTTACTGAGAAATAATCGTGAAATCACCATGACCTCATTTGAAATAAACATCACAGAATGGGGAGAAGTTCAGAAACATCCATTTTCCTTGCCTCTCCTGGTTCCTGCCTCTGTCCCAGCCACACTCACACATGGTTTCTGAAGACAACTGTATAGCTCTCTGACTAGAAGGAAATTGGCAGTTACCTATAAAATGTGACTAAGCTGGGGTGCTCAATGTACCCCCAAATAAAATGAAATTCCACAACTTCAAGGTATTTCCGGATTAAAGTGGTGTCTTTTAAATTTAAATAAGTGTGTCCTCTTGAATAAGCCAACACCAATTTACATTTACAGTGAAGATGACAGTGAAAGCATCTTCAGTTCCAGCCTTCACTTCCTGCCCTATTCTGCCTACTGCGGTCGGGTCAGTGGAAACGCTCCTGGCTATTAAATGGGGCAGACTGGACTGTGTGCTGAGCTGGCCTGATGTTTAGTTTCTTGGGTGGCAGAGCAGACACTGGCATCTTCACTCTGGGGAAAGATACATGGTCAGCCTTATTATCATAGTTAACTGGGACGTGGGTATGACTTTGCCCTTTGTGAGAACTGAGTCTCATGATGGAGAAGGGATGTATCTAAAATGAGCCTCACCTTGAGGTAGAAAAGGGGACCAGAAAGGGAAAGATGGGCTTTCCCCAGAAGGAGCTTGGGCATCGGGCTCCAAAGCTCAATGGAGCATCCTGGGAGAATGAGGCATGGGTCTCACTGCCTGCTGTTTAGCCAGCCTTATGCTATCATTTTATGTATGCCAACACCTTATCCTACACCTAAGCTTTAGGTCACCATTCTTCTGCTCTCTAGTATAAATACGAGTTCTTAAACGATCACAGTGGTTGCTCATATGCCTTACCATAAGTTAGAGAAAAAATAAAAATTATAAAAATAGGGCCACTATCAACTTCGAAGCTCAAGACAGCATTTACAGGAATCAGGAACAGAAGTGGCTGGCATCCCTGTGGTGTGCTATTGTGACAGGGTAAACTGATGTCAGTGTTCACCAACAGCACAGGCATCCCTAGAGCCATGTTGCTGGGGAACACAGATCTGTAGTCCCCAGAGAAGCCAGCAGCTTTGATGCAGGGCACAGAGCATCAGCTTCACGTATGTGCAGCTCGCTCCAGGAACAACTGTTTCCCTCTTAAATGCGGCATCAGTAGGGACAGACAAGACTTAAAGAGATGGCTAGTGGCAGAAACAGAGAGATATAGAAAGACATGGCCTACGGTCAGGGACTTGTTGGTCTGGGATCGTCTGTGGTCACCTATTTGTAAGTTGATGTTCTTAGCGTATATGTTTCTGACTAAAGAAAAGAACGTTTTTATGATGGTGTCCTTGGAAGGTTGTCCGAGTGAACAGGCAGAATGTCACAGAGCCAGGACCCTCTGCTCTTCCTCAGGGTCTTGAAAGTTTTCAAGCCCATGCGTAACACAGTAGAGCCATAAAAGAAGAAATCATTTGCTCAATGACCGTGAGTTCATAGATCTATGAACTACTTCTCAGAGCCTCGTGGCAGAGGATGGGACAGAGATGGAGAGAATAAGGATTTGTTGTGGTGAATGAAGCCTGACTGAGGAAAAGGAGAGTTATTACCCACAGTGCCTTTCAAACTTCTCTTGCAAGCTGGTTATTAAGGTAAATATATTTATATTCACAAACAGGCGTACTGCCTTGAAATGATAAGAAAGATGAAAGATTACACGTTATGCGTTTGACAAAATCAATTTGTGGTGAGCCGCACAGTGTTGAAGCTTGAACAGCATATTCATTGGGTTCCTAAATGCTTGTCAGCTTAGGCAGGGAATGGCATTCCCATAATCCCAAACACTCAGGCTAAGAATGTCAGTTTTGTAGCTTCTCATAATTTGCCTTTAACTAGCTAAATTACTAAATGATTGGTGTATCAGAGGTAAATATTACCACCTCTCCATCACAGAGGAGAAGAAACCACAAGCTGAAATGGCAAAACTAGAAGGAGCAAAGCTGGCTCCAAATCTGAGCCAACACACAGCATTGCCCTCCACATACCACTGAGCAACACCGCCACACAGAAAGCAAGTTCTGAACTGCACACCTGTCTGCAGTAGGAAATCTATGCCATACTTACCTGTCTAGTTCTGGTTTCTGGGCACAGGTGTGCTGTGAATACCGACAGCCTACCAAGTGCTGGTAATCTGCGTTTGCACCAATATACCTAGCCAAGCTTAGTTTTACATCTATTTTCACTGCTAATTTCTCCAAAAAAAAAAAATAGGTCATTTCTCACATGTGAGGTTTAGATGATAACCATCTCAAGGGCAACACTGTGTTTCTGTTCTCAGAATCTGAAATGAGTGATCATGATGGATGAAGTCTATACCTAGCCAGTGATCCCTAAAAGGTTGCTACAATTTGTTTCAAGAACTCAAGTCACAATCTGGAATCTGTCTTATGATGTTTCACAAGTGATTCTATTACGCAAACAGCTTGACCAAACTGTGCAGAACAAGAACAACGGAGACTCAGTCTCTCTCTCTCTCTCTCTCTCTCTCTCTCTCTCTCTCTCCTCCCCCTCCCTCCCTTCCTCCCTCCCCATCTCTGTCTCTCTTGCCCTCCCCAGCAGTCTCACTCTCCAGTCTTCTGAACTTAAACCCTACCTTTTACTGACCAGGGAACAAGAAACAATTATTTTAAACCTAGTATATATAAAATCCCCAGACATTGTATAGAAATGTACTTCTTATGATCAGAACGGCTGTCGGGATTCTTTCCCACATTTTCTATTGCAGTTATTTATGTGAGCATGTCACCTGACACAACACTCATATGGAGGGCAGAGGACAGCGTAAAGGTATGGTTCTCTCCCTCCAGCACGTGGTCCTAGGTATCAAACTCAGGTCAGCAAGTCCCTTTACCCACTGAGCCATCTCGCCAGCCTTATTATATGGTGCTTTGTGGAAAAGGAAAATAATGTTTGATGCTGCATCATATTTGTCTATAATTTTCAGAGTATTGACATGTTTATAACAACGTTCTTTCTACCCAAGAAGATGATAGTTTTTTTTATAGTTTTCATACACAATGTCCTGTACCCTTCTTACCAAATTTAACTAATAATGTTACATACAGCGTCTATTTTCTGAATCAAATGTTCTTCCCATTATCACTAAGTGTTATTCCCTGCATTGGTAGGGGCCAATGTTCTCTGCAGTTTATCTTGGTTTTTTCCCCAATGCAACAAAGTGTCTTGTTTGATTATGGAAGCCTCAAGAGAACTTTCAAAGAAAGGAGGCGCATATTCAGAATCAATAACTTTATCTCTTTATATTATGTATTTCTTTGTCTCACTTGCTCCTAGAAACGCCAGTGTTGCGATTGCTGATGTCGAGTAATGGTTTAGTTTTTTGTACATAAACCATTACTAGATCTCCCCTGACTGTGAACATTACATGTTACACTGATCAGTCTGTCCACTGTCAAAATACCTTTCGCCTACTGATAATGGCTGGCAATCAATAAGTAAAGAGACTTCTGGGAACTGAACTGCATCTCCTTTGTCAAAGCCCTCGGTGGGTTTTGGTGTGGGGCACTCAGTCCTCTGTTACGGTCCCTGAAGAGCTCGTCACGTGTTTGACATCTCCAGAAATCAAACAGATCTGCCTTCTGAGTCGTTGTTGTTGCTTTCTTAGGCTACGGTGTTACTGTTCTGATATCGTAAAGCCACTCCTATTTCTAGCAGCTATTACCATTTAAAGGATATTAGAGTTATCAGCTTCCATGAGTGAGGGATCCAGCACTAAATTCATCCGACTTCAGGCTCTTCTTTCAGTGGAGGATCAACCACCTCTCCAATCTCTTCTATAATAAATGATCTAATTTGGTTTTTTACTTCTTTTTACTTTTTGATAGTGCAGAGAACATTTTTCTTATGAAAATCTTATAATACCACAACAGACACATAGGATTTTTGTTACACTCCATAGTTTTAAAAGTATTCCGTTTCCTAACATCTCAGGATTACTGTGTCTTGTTAAATTTTCTTCTTTTACTTTGAGTGTTCCTTAACTCTCAGTTGGAGTAGGATGCGACTAAACTTGCAAACACGGCAGTTTGTTTCTTTTTGATTAAGTGCATAACTTTTATAAATACTTTATTGAGATATGATTTATTCATGTATTTACATGCCCTATTGAAGAAATAAAATGTTCTCTAAGAAACTGTTCCACAACACAAATACTAATATCTCTCCCTAAATTCATACGTCAGACTCTAATTACCGATGTTCTGGTGCTATGGTGTTGAGAGCGAAGCTCGTAATCATGAGGGTCTTCCATTAACAGGAAGAGTGCCCCAAACAGAGTCCCCCAAGAGCTGCCTTCTGTATGTACGGAGTTCCAGACCAGACAGTAGATTTCTGTCTTCTTAGCTGGCTGCTTTGCCCTTATGCTTTGACATATTTATTAGACATGAATCT